TTAAAAAATAAAAAATTTAAGCTCTTTTCTTTTCAAATTTAAGGACAAGAGACAAAAGTGATACATGTGTGCACTCAACGTCCGTAAAAAATAAGTGTGCACTTAAAAGGTTAAAGTTACTAACCTTCTTGAAATGTAAAAAGGTATTTATAGAGCGAACAAACCCATCCGCCAAAGTAAATTAAGTAATATTTTGTTTTAGAAATTTCTTAATATTTAACAGAACATGCTCGTACACTTGTCTGTATAATATGAAATCGGTGATATGTTGTGCGCATCAGATCTTTTTTATATACATATATGCATACGATTGAGGCATAAGTATGGACTTTTTTTTTGGATAGAAGTAACCAATTGGTGAACATAAATTTGGACTTTTCAATTAATTATTTCCTAAATTAAATAATAATGGACAATTTACGAGTATATGGTAGTAATTTTCTTTATGTGGAATTTAAAAATAATATGTTATTGTATGAATATTGAATATGTGATGCGGGAGTAGTATATTGTACAATTGAAATATAAAGAAGAAATGGAAAAAAATTGGGTATTGTATTGTTCAGAAATTTTTAAGTATAGCCCTCTATTGTTAAAATAAAGTAAAACTGGAAACAAATTATTGATTTCAGGCAGGACAGAACACTAGCGTGTCCTCAATTATTTAAGGTGGGAGTGATTCTAATTTTGAATGCTAACTAAAAATAGGAACTTCTTTGAATAAGGGATTTTCGTATAGTCTGTATTGGTTTTTCAGTATAGTAACATGTTCTATATGGATATTATATAGGCATATTACATGTATACTACAGTAAAAAGCTAAATACTGAAAAAATTCGGTATTAACAAATATTGTTGAGATCAATTCGAAATCAAAACTTCAAGGAATGTGTTCTTAAGCATTGTTGACGTTATGAGAAACAAGTATGATAAAATAAAATTAGATGAGCATGTTTATAGACGATGAATGTGAAAGTAGGTACAACTATCATTTGGTTTTTAAAGTCACGTTCCCAATAAGGGGGAATGATGCTTCCTCAATGGGCAATATCATGATAGACTACTCTCGCGAAACGTCGACCGGAGTCCGCTCAATTTCTTAAAGTCGTACTGTGGCCACATTTTTCTAGCTTGCACATTTTTTTCTAACAACTAATCGTGAGGTTACCAACAAGTAATTTTGCCGGAAGCAAATGTTGAAGCATATTGAAGGGAAAAGGCTGCTGTATTTTGCAATAACATGAATCTAATTAGGCTGAAGCACAACTAGAATGTTGTTGAAAACTTTTACATCGTTTAGCAAAATACGTAACTGAAATACAGTGTCGTATATGAGGTGAATAATGTTCCGAATCATCTCATACGTCACCACACCCGATATAACAACAAAACTATTAGCAATTACTTTTGGTTTCATGTACACATTGGATTTTTTTTTCGAAAACAACAAGAAATTTATGATTTCGAATTTTATATTAAAATTTTTAATGTCTCAATTCTTACAACAGTATGTGGTGATGAGTCTTACGCAATGACTTAATATTTTTTTAAACAAAATTTTCAAGTACTTAAACGATAATTGACATAAAATAAACAATATGTTATATAAATAACTGTATATGTGTAAACATAATGTATTGTATAAGACACTTAAACTATTATTCAGTAATTTATGAAGTTCTTAAAAATGAACTTACAGTTTTTCTATATATCTATATGTACGTATATTAATGTATATACATACATACTTATGTATATGGAAAACATGCATGATTTTACGATCATTCAAAGACAACTGCAAAAATATCAATTAAAATCATGAATTGTACATTAAATGAATACTTCATTGCTTCTTTTATAAGCAATTGAGAAATGTATTCGAAATGTTTATAAGGTTAAGTCATCATATTTCAATTATGTTATTAGAGGGTATGTTAGAAGTAAATTTCAAAACGTATATGTAAGTATTGTTTTATAAAAAAATTTCACTTTGTACATTAATTGTCGCGTGCTAATTTTTATATTGTTGCTGCATTTTTACATAATTCAATACAATTAAAATAGTGTTTGAGCAGATCAATTAAAAATCACTGTTTCGCATAGAGAAGAAACATCAACACGATATAATTAAGTTTGATTGTACGCAAGTTACTCACCGCAAGATATGCATAGTAATAAAGGTATCAATAAGAGGGAAGACGCTGGAGGCCAAGCAGATAGCCCTTGCAGCCTTCCTAGATGTTAAGGGAGCCTTCGACAATACCTCTTTTGATTCAATAATGAGGGCGGTTGCAGGCAAGGGAATTGAGGCACCCACCTTGAGATAAATCGGGGCCATGTTGGGTTCCCGAAATATTGCCGCCAGGGTGGGAGGCGCCAAAATTAAAGTGCGGGCCATGTGTGGTTGCCCGCAGGGGGGGGGGGGGGGTCCAATCTCCCTTGCATAGCTGATCGAATGCAGGGTGCCCTGAACATAATACGGGACTGGGCGCAGGTGGAGGGCCTTGGAATTAACCCAGGAAAGACAGTCATTGTACCATTTACTAGGCGGCGGAAATTTAGTGTGCACCCGTTGCTCCTGGGGGGCACAAACATTGAGCCTTCCAAGGAAGTCAAGTATCTGGGAGTAATCCTAGACCAACGACTAAACTGGGGGCCTCATTTTGATGGAGTTATAGTTAGGGCCACCCGGGCTCTATGGGCTTCGACGAGGCTATATGGAAAAATGTGGGGCCTTAAACCTAAAGTGGTCTACTTGACCTACATTACAATTGTTCGACGTGCCAAACGACCTCGAAAGAGGCACTCCTGGGCTTGGCCCCGCTTCATATTCACCTGAAGGGGGAGGCTATGAAAGTGCAACTGCGGATAAGGCAATAGAGGGAGCCAAAGCCGGGTGATCTTAGGGGCCATCTAAGCATCATTGAGGAGATCGGTGGCCTACGTGACATGGGAATGCTCTTGGACTTTGGTCTGAGGGAGAGGAACATAGTGAGGCCATACGTTGTGGATCTAGCTGAAAGGCGGATCTGGGACGGGGTGGATCACAACTTGGCCCTCTTTTATATGGATGGATCCAAAACCAATAAAGGGGTGGGCATGGGTGTGTACGGTGAAGGCGTAAGCATATCTAGGGCCCTCGGACGCTGCCCATGGATATTTCAGGCTGAGACATATGCCATAGAGTTGTGTGCTCTGGAATGTGTGAGAAGGAGCAGGATTTTTATTATGTCGGACAGTAGGGTTGTTCTCGGGGCCTTCTTGTCTGATCCAGGCAGTTGAAAGAATGCATTGATACTCTTAGCGTCCTGGCCAGGCACAAAAAAATAACCTTGATGTGGGTGCCGGGACACTACGGAGTGAACGGGAATGAGAGAGCTGATGGTCTTGTCGGATAGGGAGCGGCGGCTCCCTTCATTGGACCGAGTCATGCTTTGGGGTGCCCAAGACAACGGTCTTGCGTGCCCTCAGTGAATGGTGAGGAGCGGGCCAGAGTTGAACATTGGGACAGCTGCCTGGGCCTGTCGCACTTTAAGAAATTTGCTCGTCCCCTGGGACTGGGGGGGGGCAGGGTCTGACCTTGCTGAGTCATCCAAATTTGAGAACATTAGTGGGGGTTCTCACTGAACACAGCCTCTCGAGGGTTCACCTGAAAAGGATTGGCAGGGTGGCGGATGAGGTCTGCCGTTTATGCGTGGAGGAGAACGAAACCATGGAGTACTTACTGTGTGAGTGCGAGGCGGTTGCTCGCCTGCGGTTGAGATGCTTCGGGGGGGGGGCTTTGTGACCCCGGGGAGGATCTCGCAGGTAGATGTGGCTGCCATACTGCGGTTTGTCAGGGGCCTAGAAATAGAGCTAATGTAGGGGGGATGGGAATTACAAAAGATCCTATGAGTCGACGTGAGTGGGGCCTAAGGGCTTCGGGCCCCGTGGAGAAAAAAAAAAAAGGTGTCACGCTTTGCCAGTTATAGCACTTGGACAGGATCACTCCATATAAAAAGAACAGAATTAAATGGTATATTTAGGGAACTTCAGTAATTAAAATTTATTTTACAAAATGACATAGTATTATGCGGGTTATCAGATTGAATAATGTTAAGCAAATAATAACAAACAGTTTTCTAACGTAACATATTCATATTGTGAGAAATTTTGTAAAACTGACGTTCAACTATATTAAACTATTTGCAGTTTAAATATTTTAAATCTTATCTTTAACTATATCTAAATAAAAGTTTGATATTCATGTGCCACTCTTACCTTTGTTTTGTAATTAAAGAAAAAATTATTTATGAAGAAAGCAAGTTAAATGGTTTACTTTTAATTTCCCTTATATTGTAAATAAAAATGTAAAAAACTATTCTAAATAAAGAAATTTTTAATTTTTGTAGAATTTTTGCATTTAAAGATTCGGACTAAGTCTTATAAATTTCAAAATATATACATATTTGATATTATAATAAATTATTTAAGATTTTAATTATATAAAATAGTACGAATTTATCATAGCAGGGCCTCAGTCCCCGACAGAATTCGATACTTAAACTTGTGCCTAAAGTGAATTTAGTAGTTCTTGTCATGATTGAATTGAAAGTGCGAGGTAATTGTTTGATGTTACTTAAGAATAAAATCAATGTCCAATAGCTCTCTATACAACTTTTAATTTTTTATGAATTTGATTAATTTGACTATATATGAAAATTATTAAAGCATATATGAAAATTATTTTATGAAATTAGTACTCGTAATAGTTTATGTTATTTTTAAATTTTTTAATATTTAATTATGATTATGACTAATACTTAATGGTTATAATTACAGAATTAGAATTTCTGTGTTGAAATAAAGAGAATGTTTAAATTTATGCTGTGTTACCCATTACGAATTAATTTTTGAACACCTGTGGATGGTACTCCTCAATTATGGGTTAACACATAATATGTCGAACTTTATCAATTCTCTTTGAAATTAAAAAAATCAAGCATAATTCAAATACTTACTTTAATTTTTCCAATGTTTGTTTCTGTTTAGATGTTAATTCCTTCCTTTCAAAATCAGTAGGTGGTGCAAAAGGTGGTGGAGGTGGTGGTGGTATACCACTAGATGGTGGTGGTGGTGGAGGTGGAGGTGGTACTAAAATACAATATAAAATTTAATATTAGCAATAAAATATCAAAAAAAAATTAAAAAAATTTTTTTTTAAGTTAGAAATTTTTGTATAAAAACAAAAGTAATTAATATGCTAATTATGAATAAAGTTTCAAACTACATACAAGAAACGGAAAAATTTCTAGATCTACATACATATATACATTTAAAATAAAATAAATATATTTTATCAAAAATATGAAAGTATTAATTATTAAGTATCACACAACACAACATTATTAAAAACAAAAATAAATAAAAAATTTTTTTCTTAAAAAAAAATTAACTTGGAAAAACTTTTCTTCCTTTATAATATTTTCAATTATAAAAATCATTAATTTTTTTTTTTTAGTAAAAAATATTTTTAAAAATATAAAATAAACACTATTTTAATAAATTTTCAGGAAATTAAATTACAATTGGGGCCAAAAACTTATTACAAAATTAACAGGAATTTTGTTTTATAAATAATTTTTTTTCGTAGAAATTTTAAAACAATAAAGTGTTTAATTAATTAAATTTTGATTTAATAATTAAATTAAAATTTTGTGCTATCAGTAAAATATATCGGTTCTAGAAATAGACAGATAGCTCGCCATATTGCTTATATTTCTTATTGTATTTATACTTAAGGCGTTGTCCCATTCACCCAATAAAAATAATAGTTAAACAAACTTTTCGGCGGATCGATAAATCTGTGCTGGTGTTGTGCGCACTACAGATTTGCTATTGAGCTATCAAAAATTACTGTCACTCAAAATCGCTTCTGAGAGAAAAACTCCACTGGAAGTATTTTTATTCCTGCATGTCATTTGTCAGTTTAGCCAGTTTTAAGAACCTGTCTTCAATAAAATTCTCGTTTTTTTAATTATAGATAATTATTATATATTAAGATTTTTTGATTATAGATAATTATTTATGGTAGCTGTGTCGGGAAAGCACCTACATGCCCTAAATGGGTTGAGTCAGAGAGCTCTTAATGTTGTCTCTGGCTGGGCCGCTTGCGGCGGGTTGGAAGGGAATCTTTGTAAGACGGTACCTGCCATATTCAGCAGGAAGTACAAAATACCGAGTTTGGTTCCGCCAAAACTTAATGGAACGGGGCTCTCCTTCTCCTTTAAGACAGCCATTGGAAAGAGGTGGGGCACCGAACCAGGCATGGTTCACTGGCTCTACATCGCAGTAGTGAGATCTGTGCTAATGTACGGTGTTCTAGCGTGGTGGCCTGCGCTGGGCAGGTCTATCGACATGGGACTGGCAAGCAAGGTCCAGATTGTGGTATTGCTGTACATTGAGTGAGCCTTGTGTTCAACTCCTACATAGGCCCACGAGGTACTTTTCATATTCTTCCAGTTTACATTCTTGGGAAGCAAATTGCAGCAGGATCGGCTGTGCGCCTAAGGCCTGCATCACATTAGTTCGGCGACCCTGTGGGTCACGCTGACATAATGGAAACCGGTGGGGATGTGGCGCAGAGGATTGACTATGTCTCTCCCGTGTTCGTTCGCGAGGAGTTTTAGCAAACGGCAAACCTGGGGGAGCGAAGGCAAAATTTGGGCTGGTTCAATTTACATCTACACGGATGGATCCAAGCTGAACGAGAGGGTCGTGGGGAGTCTTCTCCATAGAACTTGGGGTTGAGATCTCCTTTCGTCACTCGCGAGGCATGGAGAGAGGTATCGGTCTGTGTGCACGCGTGTGTCACAAGTTCGGCTGAACCGATTTTCATGAATTCAAAATGAATTCTTTGTAACTCTATATTATCCTCATACTTCTACTCGTATTAACTTAATTTATATACTAACTTTCTCAAACAGAAGAAAAAATTTACTGTATAACAAAATAAAGTAACACGTGCATAATAATATCAGTGTAATAGAGAGGATGACGATAAAGTTAATGCGTGTAAACTTATAAAATATACCTACACGAAAAATGAGGAATGAAAAAATTAATTATGTACAGAGAGTGTCAAAACTCAAATAAAAAGTTTTGCGTTTTATACGCACATTATCTTTAGAAGTAACAAAAATATTTTAATGATAATAATAAGTTTTATAAGTTAAATAAACTTTATTGATTTCGTTACGAAAAAATCGTTTTATCGTTTATTTTTGGAAAAAAATTTTTCTTTTTCACATTTCTTCCTCTCTTTGTTACTTTTACATGTACTTTTAACTTTTATATTTTATTTTCTGATGAAAAAAAAATATTCAATAAACTTTTTATTCATTAAAAAGTAAATTTTGTGATTTGTTTGGATTTTATACAAAAAATACAAGGTGGTAGGCTTAATCTTGAGTTTTATTTTTCTTTTTCACATTTTCTTACTTTTATGAAATATTAAGAATTTTATCAAAAGAATTTTTTTTTAATTTATTTTTTTTTTGTTTTATTTTTTATTTGGCAGGATGCGTACATTATATGCCAATAATTTGTTATATTTTAAATATTTTATTAAGTAAATGAATAAATAAATTAGAAGACTAAGATCAAAAATAAATTAAAAATTGTATACATTGCTATGACGTCATGTGATTCTCAAACTACTGTCACGATATTGATCACTGTCATGATTATTATTTATTAATTGTCATATTCAGGTTGTAACTTATTGAAACTAATGAAAACTGAATTTGTATTTTTTAAGTTTGTTATTCAATTTTTATTAATTTATTTTAAAAAATTGTTTAACACTACTAATAAACATTATCAAAATTATAACAGTAAAATATTTCAAAAATTATTGGATTACAATCTATGAGCTGCCTGTGAACGCGTATACATATCTTAATTTTAATTGTACTGATTTTGATAAAAATTTATTATATTTCAAATATATTACAAATATATTCAAGTTTGAGTTCTGCAAGCTACCGGAACTAAATGGCGAACTTTTCAGAATATTTGGATGGTACAAAATTAACACACCTAGCTCTAAGTTCAGCACTTTTTCTAAACTGGATTGAAAGGAGACAGTGCCCAAATAGAAGAATATACACCTTGCGGTCGGATATGTGCTGACTATACATCAGATTTTTTATAATCAAAGTTTCTCCCACTCGAATATTGACATAAGGACTCTATATTGATTATTACTTGATATAATTGCTTTAGTTAACTTTCTGTCTTAAAATTAATAATAATATTTAAATTTATGGTTGATAATTTTAAATTAAGTTAAAATGTAAGAATATTTTAATATGCAGCCTATTTAAAAATAATTATTTTTAAATATTTTGTAAAGACAATTTTTTTATTGACATCGGTAATTTGCTTATGAAATTTGTTTTTAACCCAAATTTTTAAATAATAATACAAACAAAATTAAAAAGTGAACAATTAAATTTCCAGACTTTATACAAATTTATTTGGGCAACTTACTGTACTCAAATAAAAAATATTTGAAAACAATTTAATAATCTTAATAGCATGTTAATTGGTATACATGTGTGGCTTAAAACATAGACGGTTTGGGTGGGTGCTTATAATTAATTCATAAATTAATTTTTATACGTATGCGTGTGTTTTAAATATTGCACACAAAGTAATCGTCTCGCATAAAGTATAAAATGTTTAATGAACCAATGGACCAGTTATTATATTTTATGGTTCAGTTATTGTTTTGAAAATGTGATAATTATATTATGTTTAATTAATAGGATTAAAATTTGTTTTTGTATAAATTTCTAATTAAATATTATTATAATTTAAAGATATAAAAAAAAACAAATTGGTATTATTTTATTATGTGCTTTAATTGTTATTGTTTTTGTTAAAATTTAAAAATTAATAATTAAGAATTCGGAGAATTCTGTTATTTTTATTTACATATATGTTTTTTTGTACTCAAATATGATTTATCCTATAATTATAATTTATTGGAAAATTTGTTTCCATTTAATCTTAAAATTTTAAGTATTAAATAAGTCTAATAGCAAAATAAAAATTTTAAAATTTTTTAAATTTAAAATGGGGTAGCAGTGCACCGTGACCGTGAGGATGTATTGTGTCCCAATATGGTGTGTGACAAGTCCTTATAACTTTCCCTCGAGGAAATTTTGGCAATTATCGCATTTTAATTTTAATAATATATATGAAATGTCCTGAGATCTATATAAATACAATTATGAAATTCAAAAAATAGTTTTATTAGTAGATGCTACTTTGGCGTTTAACAAAGTTGTTACTAGACTTATATATTACATTGTCGTTAGGCAGCCTTTACACATCAAAAATTTTTCACAGATTATTCACTCAGTGTATTCCATATCCAATAGCGCAATAATTATTGCACCGGTATTTTAGCCAAATTGTTTCTGGGTTCGAACCCATATTGTTTCCTATAAAAATTATTTTGAGTACTTATAACAGCTTATTTGAGGTTATGGTTTTTAAATAATTTACAAATATTTTTATTTTTTAGAGCAAATTTAATTTACAAGTGGCCGAATAATTTCTTAGAAATGTTCAAGTAAACATTCCACAACTTAACAACAAACTAAAGAACTGAAATCAGATTGAAACGATTTTAATTCAATTTTGTGAGTACAAATAGTGAGTACAAATAGTCACGTATCTACAAATTGATGGCAACACGGTTGTCTATAAGTGGCACTTAAAATTGAAAAGCATTTTCGCTAAATTTAATTTATAATTGATAAATAACTAAAATATCAAAAATATTTTTCAAAAATATGAAATTATTATTGATATAGAAAAATGTTTTATTGCCGAAACTAACAAACAATAAAAAATAATTTAAAATTGCATTTATGCGATAAAATAACTTATTTTCGAAAATTGCAACATTGAAAACGTGGCAAGCGTTTTCATTTTACTTAATACTCTTCTTAATTTAGTAAAATGTTGAACATTTTTTTTTTGTTTTTATGAATTTCATATAAACTGCATTTTGCATATGCAAAATGGTTTAGAAATTTTATTTAAAAAAAATTATAGTTTTTATTTTTAATTTATTACTT